CCCTCCCCCCCCCCATCCCCTTGCGTTCAGTCTAGCCATGATTGTATTGAATCTTAAATTGTGGTTAGAGTACAATTGGAATTATAAATGTGCAGTCTTGGCCAAACTTGAAGTCATGATGAATGATGACTTCTTGAAGGGCTCTCTCATTTTCTGGGGAAATTTGGTGTTTAGGTCACTGGAAAAAAACTTGCTGACCCCAAATTCTGTGCCCTCTTATATGTCTGTTGAGGATAACATTGCATCATTTTCACTATGTCCTCTTTAAAAATCCTATCTTAGGTTTTGCACAGAGATAACACTCAGAGAGGAGTCTGTGTCCTTCAAAGCAACAGAAGTATGCCAGAACTGTTGTTCTGTAGTCAGATTTCATGTTGCACGTATCATCTAACTGATAGCTAGCCCTTTATGATGTGTAACACGTAAACAAGAAGATAATGCACCTAATACGTATTTTTATTCTTGTGTGAATAAAATCATACATTACTTAAAAAAAAGATAATTTGAGTATTTGGAAGTGGGAAGTGGGTTTGTGGTACTCTGAAATTTCTTTTCCTTGTTGTCCATTTTGCAGTTTGTTAAAACCAACCTTGATCGTCAACGTGACTGTTAGGTTTCTTAGCTATTCCATTGTGCAACAATCGTGTGAAACTTGGAAGAACAGCTCCACAACTGAAATTTCAACTTTTGAGTCAAAACTACCACCACAACTCTTAATAGCACTTTCCTGGTTTAGTATTCGTTCGGATGTGAATATAAATCTGTTTTTATAGAAACATGAGTTAATCTAAAGTCATAAAGATTTTGATTAACAGCATTTAAAATGAAGGAATGGAGGAATTAAGATATTACAACTTTTTTTTAAAATCTTTTTTTTTTTTTTCTAAGGGTATTCAACTATTCCTTCTGCTTGGCCCCTTTAAAGTTATTGTCCATTTGGGTTTTGACCTGGTATGATAAGAATCCCTTATGAAATGATCAGTCACTCTTTTAACTTCCCTCTAAAACATTCTAATAGGCTTGCAGGAGAACAGTCTGGGATTGTTACCTTAGGATTCTAGTATGTTCAACCATTGAAGTCCTGCTTGGTATTTAGTGAAAGCATGTTTAGGAAGAATTACTATATAATCAAAATATATAAGGAAGGAGTTTGCTTTGTATCAAAGTTGCCTACTCAGGTTTTTATTGGAAGAAGTCAGTGTGTACAGGGGTGTTACTGTACTCTGATTTTCTCTCCTGAGTTTATGATATACTGAAAAAAATGCAAGTGGATACAGTTTATAGTTTATGAACTATTTTAATGTATTTTATTTTCTAGCTAAGTTTAATCAAATGTATGCAGGACAGGTTCATTTTGCAGTTTGAACAAATACATCTCTTAATAGTAAATTAAAATTAGGTGAAGCCAGTACGGACTACTTTGCCTTACTTCCGATGAGCCTGTCACATGCGGTTTATCCTAGCAAATGACCCAAAGACAAGCACTGAATGGCCATGTATAAAGGCGATACGGAGAATTGCTGCTTGCCAGCCATGTGTCTCTTAGTTGTGTTTCTCTCTCTATATATTATAATAACAATATTATTATTATGTGTGTGTGTGTGTGTGTATGACGTGGGGGGCTATATTATTATATATTATTGTTTTACATTTTTTGTCATCTGCATTTAGTTTTTTAGTACTAATGTGCCCCTAGGGGAACCCTTAATTCTCTGATGCTATAATTCTGAAACAACTAGAACCTTTTGGATTCCAACTTGAGTTAGGAGCACAATTTGTCTTCCCAATCTCTCTGTTGCTCTTCTGCATGCTAAAAGCACTTCTTTAAAAATGCCCATGGTGTTCCAGCTGTTCATCATAGGCAAAGGGAGCATATCTTCTAAAACAGGCACCTTCATAATGTTAGGAAAGGGCATAGTTTACCCTTGTCACCCTGAAAAATGTGTGGCTGACAAACCTAATAACTTTATCATTCTCACTTACCATGCTTTTAATACAATAACATATACCTTTTAAGTTTTTTGATTATTTTCTTATA